ACAGCTTTGTGTGATTAACACCTATTTGACGAAGTTACTGAAATAAAACTTTCTAATAATATTCAAATGTATTGATTTAGTGTCAAACACGACTTGGCTGTAAACGTTTTTATTATCAAAAAACCCTGTTTTTTTCTAGTAAATATAAAACCGTTGAACGAGAGAGATCAAGACTCAAGCAGCCGTTTTACACCCAGAGATATTCCACGGTGAGACACTGTTCACAATGACAAGCTTGGACAAACGGAGGCGTTACAGATGCATAAAAAAAGTGTGAGCTGTGCCGTCCAAGAGAGCAGGAACAGACGACCAAGGAGGCGACGACAGAACCAAACCCAAAAGGTAGATGGAAGAAAATTAACTTAACATATGATAAAATTATTATATTCATTCTCTCTTTGTATAAAACAGATAGTTTTATTTAATTTGTTGTGTATAAGAAAAAAGCATTTAACAGCTTTTATTTTTAAAATTGCTTTTGTATAGTTAGAAAAAACAATGATGGTCAGATAACCTGTTTGTCTTTTGGCTTGTGATCTTTTTTGATTTAAATATTTCACTTTACTGCCCGTCAACGTTTGAATGCTTCTGAAAAGAGACAATCGAACCGGCTCCTTTACTTCAATATTTACTCCCAGGTTGAACTGCTTTGTTGTTTCTGTCATTTATGAAACACATGAAGTAAAATTGATCTTTAACACCTGGGACTGAAAAAAGCTTAAAAAGAAATGATACCAACTGTAGCAGTATAATCAAAAGAGTCATTTGAAAACACACATTAATCCAAACATAAAGCAGAAATGTGTCAAAAAGTCTAATGTGGTTCAGGTCTTATTAAGTTTTATGCAGCATTTAATGGTTAAAAATGAAATATATTTGCAGTCATTCATTGTCAGAACACAATAGGAAAGAACTTTGTCTTGACGAGACCTAAGTATGAAACAAATTCAGCCTTGCAGAAAGAAACAACAAAAACACTGCAGATGAAGATTCTGACATACACACCCAATCATAACGTACAAACGGCCAAAACTCCCTCCAGCATCACACGGAACGCACCGTCTATCGGTTATTAAGAAAAAATAATAAAAAAAAGGGGCAGGTCCCTTTGCATGCCAACCTGAGCGATGTTTACTCAAGTCTTGCATGAATTCTTCTATAGTACTTTTCCAGAGTACCGGTTAAAATATCACCATGCCAGACGTCAGAGCTGTTTTTGTCCGGTTCTGGAATCCAACCGAACGTGTTTAATGCACCTCTTGCATTAAACACGTCAAGTTTTTAATGCATTTAATCTCTCATTGAAATTTTGAGGTGTGCAGATGCTGCGCTGGCACTAAAAATACTTTCTGAACATCACATGTCGACAGGGCTGAGATCATTTTCACCGGAGAAAAATTCCCCTCACACAGCTAAGACAGAATTGACTCAGCAGTGACAGGATTTCTGTGTGTGGGGTTGTGGTTGTTTTCTTTTTTTTTTAGTCATAATCTTAATTAGGTAATTTCGTTCCTAATTGAATAAATGGACAAATATTTTTTTTTCTGTCAGAGATTTTGCTACTTCTATAGAAGAACAAGAAGAAAATCAACTATTTCCAAGTTTGATTTCCCACATTCTTATATTTGATATTTCTTTGTCTTAAAGATTAAAAATTAATATTAAAACTGTTAACGTTTAAATATGACACAACGTGGTTGACTCTTCCTCAAAAGCTGATCGCCCAAAGTTTCCTTAAGTTCCCAGCAGTTTGACGGAGATAAATGCAGTCAGGTGTGTGAGCTGCAGGGAAGTCAGTAACTCACTCTCAGACAAACCTTCTGTTCAGTGCAGAGTAACACAGACACAGGCTCACACACACACACACACACACACACACCACGATCATGACTGATTAGTGGTGAGAAACGTAAACACTTATTCTGGGCCACTGCTGATTTAAAACCACGTTCTCATTGTCAGTGACCATGGTTACTTTATAAAAATGAAGTGTTAAACAGCCTAAAATGTGCATTTTCAGTCTTTCAGATGTGTAACTAAGGATTAATTGAGGATTAGGGAAGTTATAGATTAAGAATACATGTAAGAGTTTTGTTTCCCATTTTGATTAGCTCACAAATAGCACAGAAGTTCACACAAAAAACATGGCTTTTAATTTTATCTGAACTTTTTTTGCATATCAATGTCATAAATCTCATTCATGGATTACCTTTTATCTAAAACTTGAAAATCCAACGTGTGGTTGAAGTTGAAATGAAATGAAAATTAAATGAATTATTTTTTTATTTTTAATTCACTGAAATGAAACTTGTGATGAGTTGGTTATTTCTGTATTCAATTAAACTGACTGTGACTTCATATGCTACTGGCACTCTGGGGCAAACAACATTATTAAAGAAGGGAAATGTTATCCCAGAAAAACTTCTTTTGCTTATTCTGAAGCCTCAAAAAAAGAGAAAAACTAAGAATTTCCTATCAGTTCATAAGCGTTTCTTTTTATTTTCTCTTTTAACGCAGGGCAAGTTGTCACTCATCATGGAAGGCCAGATGTCCAGAAAACATTTTCCTCTGAAGTACGGTTGGATCTTCCTGTTCTTGGCTTGCCTTGTTTTATGGGTTATGTTTTACAGTGAAAACATCACTGATCACATGACCTGTAGATTATCAGAGGTGAGTATTTGTCATCTTTAAAATATTTACTCCATCTGCATAGGAATCATGCTGGACTGATAATACGTAAAGGTTTGGCCATATAGCCATCGTCCATCCATCCATGTAGTGCAGTTATTGGATTTAGCCTTATGAATAAAATAGGTTGAGAAAGACAGCAAAGATAATATCAGGGTAAGATTATCACCCTTGTATTTTGTATTAAATATTGATTTGTGTTATTTAATTTGATTGATCTCTAAACTTTTCTCTAGTTAAAGATGAACGTTCCCACCACTAAGGCTCCGACACCAAACAGCACAACATTAAAACGTCCCACTGAGCCTCCTCAGCCAGTCAGCATCTGCTCCTACCACTCTGTGTTACCAGAGGACGCTCTGGAGGTAGAACAGTTGAAGGAGTCCATCGCCTGGCCTGAAACACCTTCCCTACCGTCTAACTTCTCTCTGAATGACACCAGTGGTCCTGCTCACAGCACCTTCACCATTCTGCCAAGAAACAGCGGTGGAGGTTGGCGAGTAGGGGATCAGCTGGAGGTTCTGATACAAATCACTGACTTCCACGGCCGCCCCAAGTCATCAGGGGGAGATGTTCTGCTTGCTCGGCTGCACAACCCGACTCTTTTTGCAGGCGTTGCAGGGCGAGTGTTGGATCATCACAATGGCTCTTACACTGCTGTGTTCTCTCTACTCTGGGAAGGAAGTGCACATGTTGAGGTGAGACTAAAACATTTCTTGATAAGCGAGCCAGTAACGTATCCTAACTCAACTAAATGAACCTTTTTAATGATTTGTGATAAGAGGAAACAGACAATCTCATGTTTAGATGACTTTATTTCCAACCTACAACATGTTAGGATCACAGGGAATAACATGAACATAGGAAGAAATGATATAAACCACAAGAGAAGCACCTGAGGAGGACAAACGTATCTTTCCTTCGTATAAAGCAGACTATACTTGGGGGGATTTGTGGCATTCTATATTCTCCAGCGGCTGTTGGGCGAGAGCTGGGGTGTCTGTCCCTTTGGCAGATCACAGGGACAATTCTACATACCTAAACCAAAAATGCAAGATTGTACTTTACAAGTATTGCAGATACTTCATTTTATTTCATAGGGCTTTTTTCCGGTTCTTTTCAAAAAGGTGACCCTGGTCCATCCCAGTGAGGCGGTCACTGTGCTGGAGAGAATCACCCAGCAGAACCCTGGCAGAGTTTCTTTAAAAGGCATCTTCCGCTCTGGCTCAGTCACTGAAGCTACTGCTTGTAACGTGTGCCTCAAGGCGCCCCCCGAAAAGCTCTGCAACTTCACCGACATCCGCACCGGCGAGCCCTGGTTCTGCTACAAGCCAAAGAAACTCAAATGTGAACACAGAGTCATTCACTCATTTGGAGGATTCGGTCTGAAACTAAAGCCAATGGAGGACCAGCTATTTCAAAGGTAATGTTAGTACCAGATTTCAACTCAACTATTTGCAAAAAATATCTTTTTTTTTTGTTTTTTTGCAAATTAACTGGAGGTAATAGTAAATATGTTATTAAATGCATGATGTACATGATGTTGCTTAACACATTTTCTGTTGTGTGCTGTAGGGGTGTCAACATGAAAGTCTTAATTCAATCATCAGGGCCTTCAAACATCACTATTTTACCCAAACTAAAAGGTAAAGGTTTACAACAAAGCAATGGATTGCTTGACAAATTACAGGACGGGAAACAAGAATTTATTACATTTGATACATTATTATGGCTTTCTCATAGCACCTTATATGATCTGTTATTTTATCATTTACATGTTGATGATGTAATTGTCTCTACTTGGAATCGACTCTCTGGCTGATTGTGTTTGATAAATTTAGATTTGAGTCTAACCTGTTTACCTTGTAGCAAGATGTTCTTAGATATCTTTAGTCGGGACTGAAGGCTCCCACTTGAGTCTCGACCTGCGGCTCACCAAACTTGTTCTGTCTGTAATTATAGTGACATATTTGTGATTTTCCTAATTTTCCATGAACAGGTATTTATTATGAGTCATAACAACTGTAGAATAGTTTTCAGCTCTTCAGCTGAAATAATAGTAATAATAATAATAATAAATTTTCAAAATTATTTTCTTCCAGTTCTGAATGAAACAGTTCCCACAAACACATCAGGTAAATTTGGTCTAATTGTGTAAAAATACAATAACACAAACAGTCTTTAAAAATACTGTTTTTGGCCTTGATTTTCTTCTTGGCTAATCTTTTTAACCTTCTTTCTGACTTTAGGGGGAAGTGTGAACGCTCAACCTGCTGGTTATTATTACCAGGGGATTTGGCGAGCACTAGATGGCACCACAGTTCACCAGCTTACTAACAACTCTGCAATTAGCCAGTGTTTGAGTGGCAAGGTGCTCCACCTGTATGGAGACTCCACCATCAGGCAGTGGTTTGAATATTTAATCTCAGCAGCACCAGGTAGACGCTCAATAGAAATGTCTAGTAACAACTGAAATTGGTTTGTGTTACAGTCTAATCTGCTCTTTTTCACGATTTCAGATCTAAAGAAGTTTGACCTGAAAAGTCGAACGCAGACAGGACCTTTTATGGCCTTGAATTACGCTAAGAACATCTTGGTGACGTTCCGCTGCCACGCTCCTCCCATCCGTTTCGGTAACTTGCCGGTCAGTCAGGCACGATACATTGCCAACGAACTGGATGGTTTGGTTGGAGGTGAAAACACGGCTATAGTTATTGGAGTTTGGTCGCATTTCAGCACTTTCCCTGTTGAGGTCTACATCCGGCGCCTGCTGAGCATACGGAGGGCAGTGGAGCGGCTGCTGACCAGAGCTCCAGGTACGCTGGTCATCATCAGGACCGCGAACCCCAAAGCGCTGTCCCTCTACGAGACTCTGACCAACAGTGACTGGTTTTCTATTCAACGTGACAAAATACTCAGGACAATATTTAAAGGAGTGAATGTCCGATTTGTGGATGCCTGGGAGATGACCTTGGCCCACTACCTGCCACACAACCTCCATCCACAGCGTCCCATAATAAGTATCATGCTAAATGTTGTTTTATCCCACATATGTTCTCCAGCAGGGAACTTTACAGAAACAAAAACGTTGTAGAATATAACCTGGTAATTGGGTAACCAATGGTGATTGGTGACACTTGATCTATATCACATTAAAGACATATCAACCAGCAGTTCTGAAGATGGAATAAAAATTAGCAACACAGAAGTAGGTAAAGGAAATTTGATGCTGGGATGAAATGGCCTCCAAGGAAACTTTGAAGAAATACAAATAGGTGGAGGGGTAGACGCAGTGGACCCAGGTTTGTAGAAGATTTTAATGAGTGACCTCACAGAAAACCAGGCAGCATACTTAAACTAAGAGACAAGGAACTCAACACTGGTACCACTGGCAACGAGGACAAATGACGGCAAAGACAATGACATGTGACAGGACAAGGAGCCGGGAACACAGGTGGGATTAAATACACCAGGGGCAATCAGGGAACACGAGACACAGCTGGGAGCAACCAAGGGCAGACAGACAACACAGAAAAAAACAAATCCTCACAAAGTCTTTATTTATATTGAAATTTAAATGTTAATAAAAACATTTATTTTTTACAAAACGTGTTAAATGATTTTTTAGATCCTACCTTCGCATTTCCTATCAGAAATGTGAGAATGAAAATAATCTAATCCTGCCAGCAGTAAGTGTTCATCATGATTACATTGTGTTAGTTGGCAACCAACTGGGGTTTTTTTCAAGTGTTACAGCAAAAAGGTAAAGAATAAAACATTGGTTTCTTTTCCCCTACTTCCCAGCAGTCCATTGCATTATGCCTCAATCTGAAGTCTCGTAAACGAATGAACATGGTCTCACAAAGGTCAGATGGTTGAAAGAAGAAAAAAAAAGAGAGAGTGGCATGATGGTTTTATGCGACCCTAACTCTGTACCTCACTTATCGGCCACGCCTCCTTGTTGTTATGCATTGTTGGACATTAAGATCAGCTGTTGTGTTTTTAGTAAGCTTCAGTTACAAAAACCTTCAAAACTTAAATAATGACTTGAAAACTGTGTCACTTCTTCAATATAGTCAATGCAAATACTGAAGTACACACACACACACACACAAACACACACATGCTTATGCACGCATACATGTAAAATTAAATGTCAGATTACACTGAAGACTACACAGTTAGTGTTCACAGGCCTGCTTCATTTTCAAGCATTTCTTTCCTGTGCAAATTAAAATCAAAATGAATTAAAAGCATTATTTTCTTGAGCTTCATCATTTGACATGTTTGACAAAAATAGATGACTGACCAAAGATTGTTTTGCATTTTTCTGCCCAAACCCTCCTTGCTTCATGTATCCGCTGCTCTTTGCATTTACTAATCCTGGGATTATTTCCAGGGACGTAACTGTTTACACGTGGCTGTCGATGTTGGCCAAGTAATCCCCTCATAAGTGGAATACAGCACTGAAATAACATACATTCATCAATATCAGTGCCATTGGAGTAAGTTGAATAGTGTATTGTAGTGAGTCATTGTGACATCTGTGCCATGTGTTAAGACGACTTTTATTGTGGATCCAGCGGACTCAAAGCCCAAACCTGTTCTAACTGATCCGCTTTTTAGGATTATGGCAGCATTGTGTGGTAACAAAACCTTAATATGTACAACTTGAGCACCATAGCTCTCTGAAAAGACACCAGTCAACATGATGACTGGTGTCAGATTCTTGTACAGTAGCTATTAAACAAATACTGGTGTTCCTCACCTCCTCCAGGCATCAACCTGAACACAAGGCATCATCCATTTGAAAAGTCTCCAATACAGCAAAAGCAAAAGGGCATGAGCATGAACCACATAGGGGTAAAAGCAAAGATCCTAAAAATCTTAAGCCTTAAGTCCTCATCTCCAGGATCTGCTCTTGTATTTGGAACCTGCTTTAGAGCTTTCTTTAGGCGCTAAAAAAATGTGCTGAACAGTTTTAGTAATAAGTCTAGAATGTTTCTTTATCCTGAAAAAATAAGTTTATTTAAAAATACTGCTAAAATCTCATGTTATCTTG